TAATCGGGATGTGTGTGTCAGAGGCAATGCGATTGGCACAGGATAGAGCAGAGTTTAGGGCTGTTGTACATAGGGTCGCTATGAGTCACAAACGACTCGACGGCACGTAACAACAACAACAACTTACAGTTTTCTACCCTTATCTTTTAATTTGAAAATTTGACTATGCTATGTCTTGATGTTTTTCTTTTTTGGGTCTGGTCTATTTGGTGTTCGCTGTGCTTTTTGAATGTAGATTTTCTCCTTCTTCAAAATACCAGGGATGTTTTCTTCTAGTACGTCTTTGACAATTTTCTCATCGACTTCTTTGTCACTCCCATGTTTTGGAATTCCAGTCGTACATAACGTTATTCCTTTTAGATGTCATCCCACATGATTTTAATGTTTTGTTCATTTTCTTTACATCTCATCTCTATTATTTCTTCAAGTATGAATCCAGTGAAGTTCTCTCTTGTCTTTCAGCTTACTGACTCTCTGTTCCATCTTTTGAGTTCTATTTTTAAGTCTCACCAGTGTTTTGGACCCTTTTCCCACGCTTTCTTAATATTCTGGATTGCATTTTCTTCTATTTCTGTATTTCTAGTACTGAGTTGGCTGTACTCTTTCTGTCTTACGATTTTTTTAAGCTCTTTCACCTATTTATATAAATTATCAATTCTTCCTATTTTTTTTCCTTCCATAGCTGTTCAAGTTGTTCCTCATCAATATACTTTTTATGGATTGCTATATCTGGGGTATTTGCTCTCCTAATGACTTCCATTGTTTCATCATTTACATCTTCTTCTCTAGCTGTTCACATAACTCCACATCAGCATATTTCTTCTGGTTCTCTCTATCTGGCATCTTCATTGGGTCTGCCTTTTTAGGAGAAGGTTTGGTTTGTTTTTTCATGATGACTGAGGCTGACTGCTGTTTTCTTGACATAATATGAGACTTTTCATAATAGATACTAGGTTGTTATAGGTAGATAATGACCCAGTGTATGGCATTGTTTTGTGAAAGACCGGTATATTGGTGCTCCCCTTTTGGGAAGAATAGTTAACCTGGAGCAGGATGACTATTGCCTACCTGGTCTCTTCCACTTAAGTTTAAAAAAATCCATGTGATGTAGCTAGACAGCAGTATTTCATGCAGAGTACCTGCGATATTGTTGCTCCTAGCGCTGGACAGTAGGGGTGACAGATGAGCCCTCTCCAGGTGGTGGGGCAGTAGGACCTCTAGGCTGGGGGTTTAGTGGTCTAGTGTTCTCGGAGGGACTGCAGTCTAAAACTAGAACCCCTAAACCTGGCAAGCATTGGTGTTGTCACTGGCCTGGGTTTGATTGTGCCTGGGCCTGGCTGCCGCCGTTAGCAGATGCTGGGGAAGTGGTGGCTGGAAGATGCTCTTGGGCCAGCTATGCCACTGAGGCCATGGTGTCTTGCAGCAGAAAGAAGGTAACATCCTCCAATCTTCGCCCTTCTAGACTTCGTGTTCCATTTCCAGTTGTCCTTTCCTATTCTTTTCTGTCTTCTGAGCTTTATCCTGGACAAATGCTTCTTTTTTTCTCATTTGGTTGACTGTTGTGAAGAGTGCGTTCTTCCTGCAGACCACCAGTTAAGTGAAATCACAGGGAGTGATTTCAGTTTCAGGACTGAAGGATGAATAATTGCCATCATATACTGGACAGAGAGAGGCCATTAGTTGCACTTTTGTTGTCTATTTGTAGGCTATTTTAAAACCCTAGTCACTACTTGCCAAACTAGGATTTAGAACATTGTCACTGTAGAATGTTATGCCAATTGACCCTGATGTCTCCCAAAGTTAAGATCCTGAACCCCATGCTCAGTAACTCAATCCCTCCAGGTGTTTCATTATGGCTGATAAGTTTTCATAGTTTTGTCTTCTATTTACTAGAATGTGAATCTGTGTATAGATAAGTATATAAGAGTATCATTTGCCAACCTATGCAGTCATGATTGTAGTCTCATTCACCAGCACATACTTGTTCATCATGCCTATTAGGCTATAAATCCATTTATAGATGAATGTCTGTTCTTCCTGATAATGCCAGATAATTGTGCATTGTAATACTATTTACCTTTGTTGTTTGCAACTGTTCTGAGCCTGACTGTGTCTTCCTTTTCCTTAACATTGGTGTTTCGTTCACCACCCCTTTATTGAATATTTCAAGGATAAGAATCTTTATAGAATCAGACTGCTACGTTTTTGCCCTATGGAATGTTTGGTGGGTTCATACCACTGACTTTTCAGTAAGCTATTCTAACTACTGTGTTAGTATAGATAGTTACTATGTATGTGAACAGAGAAAGAAGGAAAAAAATATGAATACCAATTATTATAATACAGATATAATACAGATTTTAGGTCAGCTAGCCTTAAGTTGAAATATTCTCCAGCTATGTATATAACCTTGGGCATGGTGCTTAGTATCTTGAATTTGTCTCTTCATTTTAAAGGAGAATAACAATGCCTATGTTTCACTCTTCCTGAAAGGGTCAGGTAGCAAATACCTAGTAAGTTGTGCCCACACTACTAATGTCCTTCATGGTGCTGCTTTTCCTCCTTCCCCTTTCCTCACTTGTCTGAGCCTTCATGCTGTTTACAGAATAAATATCAAATAAACCAGTACTTATTTCTAGACAGATTTTTAAGAAAGTGATTGCTTATATATGCACTGATCAACACGCTAGATGTTTGAAATAGTTTATATTAATTTTCAAGTAAGTTTCTCAGTCACATTGACTACCTTTCAAGGGCTAAGTACGCTTGACCAATAGTAATTTCTGTATTGGACTTGAATAGTAAATACATAATTTTTCCATCATTATGGAGAGTTTTACTAGGCAGCTGTAATAACATGTAACAGCAACAGTAGTTTAGAGAAATTATAGTTGACAAGTGAGGAGGATCATTTATGTATCAGTCCTGTCTTTAAAGATATGTAGTTTTTATTTTTACTGAGTCTAGAAGAACTACTTATCATATATCTACCTTCTTTCAGAACTGGTAGAGGAAAACAGGTGTTGTGTTTTTTTTGTGTGTGTGTGTGTGTCTTGCAGGTAGTAGGAGGAATGACTTGGTGCATCACCACTTGCAACTTCGATGTAGATGTTGATTTGCTCTTTCAGGAAAACTCTACAATAGGTCAAAAAATGTAAGTAATTGTGGTTTGCTGTGGAGGAGACTAAAGTGGGAGGAGAGATTAATTTTGTGTGCTGTCTATCAGAAGTTGTACTAGATATTTCACATATTTTAATTTCATAATAATAGATAGCCTCCTTGTTTTACATGATGAAATTGAAACTGAAAATGATCAAGAGAAAGGACATAAAATTAACACATAAAAGTCATTTAATGTTCAAGTTAACCTTCATATTTTTTTCTTGATCAAAGTTGCTATTAATAATTTAAGTGGAAGTTGAATAAGGAAAAAGAATCTTTTTTTATTATTATTATTATTTTTGTGTGCGTGTACCGTCAAATCAGATCTGACTGGTACAGGAGGAGATTGTCCCTCCTTACCCAGCAGAGCATCTGGTGGATTCGAACCGTTCGCCTCTGGGATTGTAGTTGCAGCTCCTTGCCACTAGGCTACCAGAGCTCCCCTGGAAAAAGAATCTTTTATGCCTTTAGGCTCAGTGCCATCAAGAGATGCCACTATGGTATGATGGGAAGACACATCATTATGAAAATATCAGTACTACTGAAAGCAATCTATAGGTATAGTGTAATGTTGATCCAAATTTCACATCATTTGTCAGAGAGATGGAGAAGTAGTTAACAACTTTACATGCAAGAGAAAGAGACCCTGGATATGCAAAGTGCTACTGAAGAAGAACACATAGGAGGCCTTATATTTCTTAATTTCAAAAACTCTTCACAGCCAATGTAATCAAAACATATGTGGTACTGTGACAGATACATAGACATAGACCAGTGAAAGGGAATTGAGAACATGGCAGTAGATCCATCTAACTCCAAAGTACTAATGAAAAATGTTAGTGGTTTTTGGTTTGGTTTTTTTTTTTTTTTTTTGGCTGAGTACAGTGTACTTTATTGATGGTACATGACAAGATGGGCTCTCCAAGCCCCTCCCCTTTCTCAGGGGGATTTAATGGAAGCTTGTATCAAGGATGTGAGATTCTCAGTGTGTGGGAGGATCAAGTTGGGGCAAGGACTCCCCAACAGCTGAGGGTCTCTCTCTCTTCTAGTGCTATTGCTGTGGCTGGTAGTCCAAGGGGCTCTTATTCTTTGGAGGCCATGTGAACCATCAGGTCGACCACCCTGTTGCTGTAGCCAAATTCATTGTCATACCAGGAAATGAGTTTGACAAAGTGGTCGTTTAGAGCAGTGCCACCTCCAGCATCAAAGGTGGAAGAGTGGGTGTCACTATTAAAGTCAGAGGAGACAACCTGGTCTTCAGTGTATCCCAGGATGTCCTTGAGGGGCCCTTCTGATGCCTGCTTTACTACTTTCTTGATGTCACCATATTTGGCAGCTTTCTCCAGACGGCAGGTCAGTTCCACAGCTGACACATTGCGGGTGGGGACACAGAAAGCCATGCTGATAAGTTTCTCATTCAGTTCAGGGATGACCTTGCCCACGGCCTTGGCAGCGCCAGTAGATGCAGGGCATGATGATGTTCTGGGTAGCTCCACGGCCATCATGCCACAGCTTTCCAAAGGGGCCATCCACAGTCTTCTGGGTGGCAGTGATGGCATGGACTGTGGTCATGAGTCCCTCTACAGTGCCGAAGTTGTCATGGATGACCTTGGCCAGGGGAGCCAAGCAGTTGGCAGTGCAGGAGGCATTGCTGACAATCTTGAGAGAGTTGTCATACTTTTCATCGTTCACGCCCATTACAAACATGGGGGCATTGGCAGAAGGAGCAGAGATGATTACCCATTTGGCACCACCTTTCAAGTGAGCCCCAGCCTTCTCCAAGGTTGTGAAGACACCAGTGGACTCCACAACGTACTCAGCACAAGCATCACCCCACTTGATGTTGGTGGGATCGCTCTTCTGGAAGATAGTGATGGCTTTCCCGTTGATGACCAGCTTCCGATTCTCAGCCTTGACAGTGCCATTGAACTTGCCATGGGTGGGATCATATTGTAACATAAAGACCATGTAGTTGAGGTCAATGAAGGGATCATTGATGGCGACAATTTCCACTTTGCCAGAGTTAAAAGCAGTTCTGGTGACCAGGCGCCCAATGTGGCCAAATCCATTTACTCCGACCTTCACCATCATGTCTCAGGGATGTGGCTGAGGCTGCACAAGAAGAGAGGGCAGTCTGGATTGACGAGGAGCAGAGAGCCGAACAATGTTAGTTTAAAGACCAAAGGTACACCTGAGCCAAGCCATGGTATTTTCAGTAGCTTCCTATATATCTGAAAGTTCGACAGTGAATAACCAAAGAAGGATAACCAAAAGAAGAATTGATGCCGTTAAGTTGTAGTGTTGGAGGAAGTGCAATATGGTCTGCCTTTCAGGTAAGTATAGTGAAACTCCATCTCACATATTGGGGCATGTTATCAGTAGGTCCATTCCTTGGAAGAAGGCATCATGCTAGGAAAGGTGGAGGGTCAGACAAAGAGAAGATGACCCTCAGCAGTATGGATTAATAGAGATATTGTTAACAATGGATTTGGGCATGGTAGAGATTGTGAAGTTGGAGCAGGGTAGGGCAAGGTTCAGGTCTGTTCTTCACAAGGTTGCTGTGAGTTGTAGTTGACTGAATGACACATAACAACATGGACAGCTGCTCTTTAACAAAGAGATGAAATCCATTAAATGGAGAAAGACCGACTATTTTGAAAAATGTTGTTAGGTGCTGTTGAGTTGAGTACCACTCATAGTGACCCTGTCAACACAAGATAGTGTCCTGTCTTGTGTCATTTTTACAATGTCTGACACACTCAAGCCAGTTGCTGCAGTCACTGTGTCAGTCCTCCTGGTTAAAGGTTTTCCTCTCCTTCACTGTCCTTCCGCCCTTACAAGCATGATGCCCTTCTCCAAGGAATAGCCTTTCCTAGCAGCATGCCCAAAGTGTGTGAGACAAATCGTCACCATCCCTGCCTCCAAGGAGCACTGTCTGCACCTTTTCTAAGACCTAGCAGTCCATAGGCAGTATAGTGCTTAAAAAACTTGATATTTATTAGTAGAAATTTGAAACAGGATCCATGCCTTATACCATAAATGGAAACTAACTCAAGATGACCCAAAGACCTAAATGTGAAGCCTAGAACTATAAAGGTCATTGATGAAATTGGGACAAACTTAGGGGCCCTATTCAGTGGTATAAATAGACCATCAGACATTGATTGAAAATACACGGTCATTAGAAGATAAACTAGAATTTTGACTTTCAGAAAATCAAATCTTTATGTACATACAGTTCTCCCCCCAAAAGTAAAAAGAGACCCTACATATTTGGAAAACATATTTGGCAGTGGCATATCTGACAAGCAACTAATAACTGAAATTTATAGAAAACTCTTAGTACTACAAAAAGAAAAAGACAAACAAGGCAACTTAAAAATAGGGCATGAAAAGACACTTCACTGAAGAAGGCATTCAGATAGCCAACAAACATCCAAAGAAATGCTCAAGATCATTAGCTATTTTTTGTCATGTGCCATCTTCAAGTCCAGCTCATGGTAACTCTGTCCATCAGATCTAAATGTGCCTGAATTCTTTGACATACAAGCTGCTTGTTATGTGTTATTGAGACTCCTGTGACTCATAGCAACCCTATGTACAACAGCTCTGAAGCCTGCCCTATCCTGAGCCAGTTTCACTGACACCTACCCCCATTACCCTAGTTACTTTGAAATCCATCTCATCTGTCTTCCTCTTCTGTGCTGTCCCTTTTGGCCACATGCCCAAAGTATGTGAGACAGAGCTTCAGAATCCTTGCCTCCAAGGAGAAGCTTGGTTTCATCTTTTCCAAGACAGACCTGTTTTTTCTCTTGGTGGTCCAGGGCATGTTCCACACTCTGCTCTAGCACCACAACTCAAAGACATCCAATCTTCTTTGGTCATCCTTAGTCATGTTCCAACTCTCTGATGCATAGCAAGTAATTGCAAAGACCAAGGCCTCAATCAAGTGCATCTTAGTCTCTAGACTAACATCATTGGTTCTCAGTTCTCTAGAGAAGTCCCGGAAAACAGATTTTCCTAATGTAACTCATATTTTAATTTCCTGACTGCTGGTGCAAGTGTTTATTGTGGAGCCAAAAGCTGAAATTGCAAACAACCTCAATCTCTTCTTCATCTCTTGTGCTGCTGACATTTGGCCCAGTGGTGAGAATCTTTGTCTTTTTTGATGCTGAGCTTTAATCAATATTGAAGACATCCTTGACTTTCTGTAGCAAACACAAATTAAAACAGACATTCTCTCACCATAGCAATAGTAGTAAAGTTCTGTAAAACCAAAAAAGCCTACATGCTAGCCAGATTATGGAGAGATTAGAATATTCATACACTGATGGTGGTGGTGTGGAATACTTTGGAGTCGTAACCAACCCATAGCTGACCCTCCAATAGATTTTCAAAGTCAGTTTAATTGATAGGGAGGGATTGCCCATTTTTCTTCTGTGGAGCTGCTGATGAATACTAACTATGTTCCCTTGGGATTATAGCATAGCTTTTTACCAGTAGGCCACCAGTAGGATAACAGTTTAACTCTTCCTTAAAAAGTTGGAAATAGAAATATCATTTGACCCAAGAACCCCACTACAAGATGTGTATCCTAAAGAAATAAGATCTACCACATGAGCAGCTGCATTATTTACAATGACAGAGTGAAACCCAAGTGTTCAGCAACAGATAAATGGATAAAGAAATGACAATGCATACATAATGGAATGTTATGCAACACTAAAGAATAATGAAAAATTCACCACATAAATAGATAAATCTAGAAGATTTTATGCTGAGTGATATGTGTCAGTTATAAAAGGACAGATATTGTATGAGTTTACTCTTGAAAACTAAAGAATAGTTTACACATAGAATCATTCTTGGATATTTAAGAGATGAGAAGGGAGAGAGGGGAGAAAAATCAGGAAATAGATACTGAGATGGATGAAAGGAAAGGCAGTATACAATAAAGAAATGATCAGTAATACCACTAAAGAAAGGGAAGAT